CATGTACAACTAAAAAAAATTTTTTAAAAGAGAATGTGTTCTCTGATGTTGAAAGGGAGATTTGTCAGTCTTGTTCAAGTCTTCTATGGACTTAATGATTTATCATTATGTCTAACTGCTTTATTATTGATAGAAATGTTGCTATCTCCTACCATTGTTATGGATTTGCCCAATTTTTCTTCTCAGTTTTTGTTTCACAAATTCTGAATTTTCATTATTAGAGATATAAAGGTTTAGAACTGTTTAATCCTCTTGATGAACTGACACTTTATCATTATGAAATGACTCTCCCTGTCCCTGGTACTATTCCCTTTCCTGAAGTCAACTTCATCTGATATTAACATACCTACTTGAGCTTTCCTTTGATTAGAGTTAGTACAACATATATTTTTTCACCCTTTTATTTTTGACCTTTATGTGCCTTTATATTTAAAGTAGGCTTCTTGCAGGCAACACAGGGTCAGGTCCAACCTGACAGTATCTGCCTTTTAATTCAGCTGTTGAGACCATTTCCATGTAATAAAAATAGTATATGTGGTTAGGTATTATTCCATTATATTGCTATTTGTCTTTATTTGTCTATTTCCATCTATTCTTAGTTCCTATCTTCTTTTTTTTTTAATATTTCAGTTATTTAATTAGGTTCTTGGTAAGAAGTTTTTAAGGATAAACCCACAATGGATCACATGTGGCCCTGGAGCTGAGGAATGGCTTTGATTTTCGGTAAAATTTGTGAGTCCACAACTTTCTGCGCTGCTCTATAATCTTGTCTTTTGCTTGTCTGTGTTGAAGATTGCACCTTACTGGTGTCTGGGCATCCACACTTCTTCTTGAAGTAAGCATCAGTGAGGTGTTTGGGATTTTCACGTTGCTGATATCAATCTTTGAAGAGGCGGCAATAACAAATTTCTGGTGTGTTTTCTGCAGAGGAACTTGAAGGAAAGAAGTCCCATCACAAACAGCAAGCCACTACTCAGGTGCTTCAGGAAAACCACTCTGGCCTCTGCGGTGCCCAGTGAGGATGATCAAGATGGTCCAGGAGTGGTGCTGGCTCCCAGTTTCCCACATGCTGACTGGGGGTTTCTTGTGGTGGCTCAACAGCTTTCGTGGCACATCTTCAGTCAGATGTGCCATTTTGGGAAGCTTAACCACCCTGGAACCACGGTTCTTGTCACCACTGACTGGTAGCAAGAACCTTCTCCTTTTCAGCCTTGGACTTAGCAGCTGAGTACTTCCTCTCGTACGTGGGCTTTCAGGAATACACAGCACACCTGGAGTATCTGCCAGTTCCTCCCAGGACTGGGTTTCGGCTGCAGAGGAGCTTCCCTTTCTTGGGTTTCTCCTCTGTAGGTTCTCCCTTTTTAACCTTGCCAACAGCATCAGCCTTCTGGGCTCCATATTTCTTCTCCTTAGTGTCTGGCTTCTCAACCTTTTCACATACCATCTTACAAGATGGGAAAGAGCCCTTCTCTTGAATAAAATATTTTATTCCCTTTTCTGTCTTAAAACTCTGCTGTATTCTCTTAGTGGCTACTTTATTAGGAGCCACATCTTCAAAATGTAACTATTCTCAAATGATATCAACACCACTCAGGTAGACAATAAACAGCTGTATTCCATTTTCTGTTTTTCCTCCAATAGCTTTATTGAGGTAAAATTGAAGTAAAATAAAATTCACATATTTGAAGTATGCAGTTTGATCAGTTTTGACTAGTATGTAACCAATACAATCAATGTAAAAAGGATTTCCATTTTTTTTAATTTGAAATCATACAAACTGTTTCCTGCATGATTTATTACATTAGAAATCAATCACCTTAAGATATATAGAACCCCACCCCCACATAAACTATTTCAAAATTAAATGGCATATTTATAAATATTTTAGAGGTCAAGGAAGAAAATAAATAAAAAGTGCTTTGAATTAAGTGATAACAAAAACTTAAAATATCAAGATCTCTGGGATGAAACAGTACTCAGATGCACATTTATAACTTAAAGTTCTTGTATCAGAAAAAAAGCTAGAATAACAAATTATTTTCAAATTGTGTGGGCGGGAAAAAATAAGAGTAGGAGTAGAAATATATGAAATAAAGAAATAATTAAAATTTGATAAAAATAAACAAGTCTAATCAAGAAAAAAGCAAGAACACAAAAATTAATATCAATGGAAAGGGAGCTATCAAAATAACCATACCAATGCTAAAATTACATTAAGGTAATATTACAATTGTATGCCAACATGTGATAGCTTACATATTTATATTAGAGAAGGATCTGTGTGCTGCTGAGAAGCAAGTGTACTTAGTCATTGATGGATGAAATATTCTATATATGTTTGTTAAGTCTAAATTATCAATTGTATTTTTAAAAATTTTTTTTAGTTGTAATTGGACATAATATCTTTATTTATTTATTTATTTATATGTGGTGCTAAGGATCAAACCCAGCGCCTCACTCTTGCTAGGC